GAGTCTCTCCTCCATGACCTCTTTATAAATCATATAAATCAACTGTATACCGTGCCAGCTTTTGCAATATTTCCTCTATTCGATTTTACTATATACAATTATGTATATATAATAGTAGGAATGATGTTTGTAAATCCATGTAACATAGTCAGAAAAAGGAAGTGTTCACTAACAGAAATGATTACATAATCACTTTGAGACATTCTCCGATTGGAAATATCAACGTTAACTTAACTAATATAAATTTCACAAACCTGGTTCATTGAGATTTTGTAATGAGTCGTTCCGCTAAGCCAGCCCCTTGGGCATTGCTACTAAGATCGCTGAAAAAGACGACAGCGCAAACGTACGTTAACGCCTGCGTTTGTGGGACATGTGTGCTGTGAGACAAGTGCGTATGTTTATTCAAAGGAATACAAATTTAAATAAAACGGTTTTAGTTAGTCATTTATTATAATATTGAATCAATACGGTTTTGGATTGAATTAGTAAACTAAAGGGTGTGGTGCTTAACAGGTGTCTAGAATTTATGGAATTGATGGTTTTGGTTCCAATTAGACGAGCAGTGACTTGCAAGCTGTTCGATTCTCGCACTACGAACATACAGAAAAAAAAAACACTCTCGAATGAAACATTAAAATGTAGGTCATTTTCTGTAAGGCTATTATTTCAATGTCTAACAGCTGTTTTGGGTGTGGTTCCTTTGCTAACCGACTGGATCAAAACGTGTGGAAATTGTTCAATTATTGTGATTCAGTATACGGCCACCTTGAAGTAGTTCCATGCGTAATAAAATCGAAATTAAAAAAAAAAAATAATATTAACACTTACCAAAAGATAATTAATAATAATAATAACAAATAATACTATAAATCCTTTTTATAACATTTGATAGGCCACAATTCTCGTCAGATGCTCAAAAAAAAAAAAAAGCCTCAGACTATATTTTGTTATAATAACAAAATGATAAGTACAATATGTCTGCGATAAAAATAAAGACATAAATCCCAAAAGACTTTTCCGGATTGTCAATCCAACTTAACAACTGACCAATCAAAAGAGGCCAGGAATACGTGTCTAAACAAACGCAAATGCGATCCCAAAAACGCAAGTGTTTGCGTATGATTCAACACACTGTCGATTCGTGTTACCTTAGCAACAATGTCTAGGGGGCGGGGCTTAGCGAAAAGGGCCATTCAAAGTGATTAAACAATATTAGTGCTAATATAGGGCGAATAATAAAAAATAGATAGATCGATAGATAGATAGATAGATAGATAGATAGATAGATAGATAGATAGATAGATAGATAGATAGATAGATAGATAGATAGATAGATAAAATAGAGGGCTGATATAGACAAAGATTGTTATAAGCCCTATCCTCAAGAGAGGTCTTGAAATTGATTTTAATTTAAAATCATGTCTATACAAATTTGTATTTTTCTTGGACAAATTAATCTGAAACTGAAATTTCCTGACAATTATGAAAAAAGAAATTACATAAATGTATTCTATAGCCTATAGATATGAATCAAATGACCGGAAAATGCAATATAAATGTAAGTAGTTTTAATCTATTTTAACAAGGCCGCTATTAGCTTGATATTATTACTTTCATGTCGTTGGATCAAGCACATAATTATAGAAGACGGGTCCTGGGGGAGAATTCTATAATGTTGCAGTATCAGCACACGAAGGACTCAGCAGGCGAGGGGTCGAACTCCCGACCTCAAGGTTTGACAATCTGAACAACTTTTGCACCAAACAATGGCGTATGAGTCTTGGCATGAAGGTGGTGGGGGGATGTGGTGATAAGGGGGGGGGGGCGGTTGTGAAGTTGTGGCTCGATTATTAAGTGAGGAGGGGCTATGTCGCAAAAATAAGTTGATACGCCGCTCTGACGACATACCGCTCCTATGCTAATGAAATCGCAAGAACACCTGGCTGCAAAATTGCAAACAGCATGGCTAATTCCTTTAGCAGCAGATTCCCTTCCATAATTCCATAATTGGCAACTTCCCATGGTTATTAGAGCATTATTTGTTGGAATACTTGCAGAAAACTGATCAATAAATAGGCGACGGAATGGAAAGCGAAGCACACAGTGAGAGATCAGTGAAACCCAGTGGTGGCGCTACGGGTGGGTGGGAGGTGGGTGATATAATAGTAAGACACTGCAAGCTGGACACGCTTCTTGTAGCGAATCCACAAGCTATAGACAATTGCAGCGTATAGACCCTACTTCCCCCACCCCTACTAACATTTTGTTCGGGCCCCTCACTCCCCCAGGTTTCAGACGCCAGACCCGCCACTGTCGAAGCCCCGACCTGTTAGAAAAACCGGGGAAGGGGGAGGGGTTTTGAAGCTGTCCTAGCACCGCCTTCGTTATAGCTTATTCATTGAGGGTCACACCAATACTGCCCCACCATGACAAAGGGAAGCAACTGATGTTTGCATTGCTTTGAGTAATTAAGGAATATGGAGCATGTTGATTTTGTCCCCTGCTTCCTTTTCTGGTGGTTTTTAGTCTACTGTATTTTTAGTCTCTTATTTCCTTTATGTGTTGCTAATTACTTGTTAATTAGTGGGATTTGAACATACTCAAATATATCAATATGTTCCAAATTATTAGTTCTTTGATAGTGACAGGCTGAAAAAACTCGTTTTTGAAAAATGTCAATTACTAGCTTCCTTTTGTCATGGTGGGGCAGAATAGCACCCTTATTCCATATAAAAACAACTATAAATGGTCTAGGCTAAAGCACAAAATTCTGATATACGATAAGACCAGTATTACCAAAAGGAAGTAACATTTTAAAACATCTCGGCTAATATAAAAGTGTTGGCCGTTTATCTTTCCACCACGGTAAAGCCCGCTTTCCCTCCCGAAACAGTATTTAGGGGAAACGACCCTGGCTCTGAAGCGCTTACTCACAGTAAATGCTTTGTTTATAGACCTATGTTTAATTTTCTAATAAACAATCTACCATTGTTTTGCATTTCAGATAAATATAATAAATTATTTATTTTAAAGTAAGTTTTAATTGTGTTACCTTTCACTGCCAGCTGTAACATCAATATCGACAATACCGTGATCGAATTCATGGTGTTTGTTGCTTTTCTTTGCACCTACAAAACCTTCCAATTAATCTGATAGGAAAAATATGAAAATAAAGCGAATTACGAACTCTCTTTTAGAATGACACAGCAATATAAATACATCAGTGGCGGATCCAGGAATTCAAAATAAGGAGGCCGAGAGAGGGACAGTCACAGAAGGAGAGTTAAGACCACCTCAGCCCTACCATGGTTGGCGCTGAGGTAAGAAAATTTATGATTACGGTACATCTAGATGGCTGGAAATGGCACTTTCAGACCAACATTTGATTATAATTTCTGTTTTTTCCTTGGGGGCCCGGGCCGGCTCCCTCCTTGAATCCGCCACTGTACATCGAATATACTAAAGACATAGAAACCATTTAAACAGACATAAAACCATAAAAATCCCCTCCCCTCACCTATTTTATTCGCATTAGGTGGCACATGATTATAAAAATAAAGGCAGCAAATTAGTACAGTTAGTCTTGTGCTACATTGCTATTAAAATAATTAAAAGTTAATTATCTATGTTTAAACAATTTCTTTTCCTTCACAAGTGCTGGGAGACGTACGATAATATGTTACGTACGTTTGTAAAACTACATTCTTGTTATTTAATTTCCTTTAAAAAACACTCGTTGTAATTTTGTTAAAAATGTTTAAATTTAAGGCTTAGGCTTAAACCTACAGGAATCAGTTATTCTCACCTTCGTACAAAGCCAGGCTATATATGCGAATAAAAATCGTCTGCTCCGTATATTTGCTGGATTTTAGAGTACTCGAATAATTATACTGTCCTTGGTGGTTCCTTCAACATTGAGTGTTATATAAAAGCCTGCTAACTTTAGACACAACAGCGAGTGTATGAAGTTTCAGTAGGCAACTTGGTTAGCTGCTCTAGGATTGTTTGTTTTAGCTTATGCGCATCACAATGAATAAAGTTGTACTTTGTACACGATGTTTCCACTTAGCATCAGGTGATTCATCAAATTATTGGGTTTTATTAAAGGGACGGTATTAAAACTCAATGATCAAAATTACAACTGTCACGTTACTTACAATAATCGTGTCAATCAAATGTTCAGAAATCGTCACGTTTTAGGAAATTAAGTGACAGCACTGAATTATTTTATTGAGTAAACTTGACGTACTTCATAAGATATTTCCAGACATTTAAAAAAAAACATTTTTTAATTAAGCAACATTATTGTATATACATTCGCATTTATTAAATAGCGCCCTCAATTGAACTTTAACTTTCCATACTACTGACTCCGTCAAAACTACTTGCGTTATGATTCTTCACACGATTGGTAACCCACTGGATGCGTTCCTCCTACTTCAATATAAGAACTAATCAACAAAATTAAACTAAGTCGCTGACATTAAAGTAACTGACGTATTCTGACTTTACAGGAGGGTACAACATAAAGGTTCATTGTAGGAAAAGTGTCAAGACAAGATTTTAGTTGAACTTAATTAGACAAACGATACTGACTGTATGCCTTCTATACTGTATCACTTTTAAATGCAGGAAATGTAAGAACTCGTTGACGTACGTAATGACAATGTTCGTTTTTATTATTTTAAACAACGGTATAGATTACATTACGTCCTTCCATCTGCCACGTGTCGTCTTCGTCTCTATGCAAAGCAATGATTCAAATAATAAGAATAATATAGGAATATTTAAATGTTAATTGTCTGCTGGGTTTGGGAGGGCCCCCTCCCAAGTAAGAGATCTTTTTTTTTTTAAATAGGGACCTCTGGATGGCCGGAAATGGCACTCTACGATTGTGAAAGATCTGTTGGGCTTGGTGTAGGCCTATTTTAAAATGTATTTTGGTCCGACTGCACGACGAGCTAGGCCGGTAGGGGAGGGAGTGTGGTGCTTGACTTGTCCAATGGGGTGGGGACTTATTAAGGCCCCAGTCCCCCGCTGGCGCCGCCACTGCTCCTACCACTGGTCTTTAACTGTTAGGCCTACAGAATGAAGCCCCAGCGTCACCAGTTAGCGGTGCGTCGGAAGTGAATGGGATGGGTTGGGGGTTTGGACGTGGAAGATTTATATACTATGTCTTATTTACAAACTATGCCCCATTTCAGAGTGGCGGACCCAGGAATTTTCGTTAGTGGGAGCAACAAAAAAAAAAAGAAAAGTTCAGATGATTTAAATTAACCTCTACATTAGCACACCATGGGGAAGGAGTTGTTAACAACTTATTTTCTGAGGATTTAAAAGTTTTAATATTAAACCATGCAAACCTACTAGGCAAATTCACATTACAAAAGCATGCATGTTGGTACAATAAGGGTGTTAACTGATTATCTCCCACCCTCCGAATCATTTACACTCCCCACTCCACTCAATGCACAGCATGTCCAACTGAAGACATGTGATGTTTCATGTGATTAAACCTCCATGCCATTACTTCATGAGTCCTGGGACAAGACAGACAAAAGATTTTGACGAAAAAGTGTCATGTTTTGTAGTCACGCCGTGTGATTTAAACAAAATTCAAAATGACACATGTAATGGTTCATATACGTTCGTTTAAATTGAACCACGAACGCACTTCCCGTTGAGTCAATCAATTAGGGTGTGGTCGAATGTTTTGCATCGAACATTAGCTAATTTCAATCACTCATGCATTTATTAAAGAAATACAGTTTGCCTTTGAATATTATGGAGCTCTATCAGTATCGTCTGCACTGTGACTTTAGTTGGCGCCAAATGCCCAACTGCAATCATAAACTGATAGCAAGAAATTTAACATTGGATGATTAATTACCAAAATAGACTTTAAATAATTAAAATATTACGAAAACATGAAGGCCTGCTTGTAAGTGCTTTAATCTTTGAATCTAACAAAATTATAAACTGCTAGAGTGCTGCTGCTACTGCTACGGCTGCTGCTACCACCACTGCTCCGCTGTTGCTACTGGTACTCTACAGTACTACTACTACAGTACACTACCACTACCACTAACACTACCACTACTACCACTACTACTACTACTACTACTACTACTACTACTACTACTACTACTACTATTATTATTATTGTTATTACTACTAACTATTATTGTTATTATTATTAGAGCCCATTATTATTAATATTGCTACTATAAAATTATTCTCATATTATTAAGTATCATTATTATTTGTTAAATATTCCGGTAACTATTATTGATGGTAATAATGAAGTTGTGTGTAATGAATGCGATGATAAGAATAAGGATAAAGTTATGATAAATATCAATCATATACCGGTAATGATTGTAATGATAAAATGGATTAGTTGAAGGTTACAAATTATCACAGTTGCTGGTAAGTTCACATAACATGGTTATAACAAAAATTTAAATAGGCCTACGTAAAATACAGACACAACTCCTATAGTGCTTTGCCTATATACGAAGCTTTTATTATAGTCACAATTTAAACCTACCTTATGTTTCAAAAGTTTTGTTTTTCTACTGTCGGATATAGTTCTGTACGCTCATTAGCTTACAGTACAACCGCATTAAGAGAAAATGTTTCAATCAATACCGTAACTATAGACTTGAGGAATGTTCGAAATCCGTGAGGTGCTCGGAGATCGGAAGGGGTGGAGTAGAAACCCCTGACAGAATTGTGAAAACGCAGTGACGTCTGGCATGCTTAGTTAAGGCTCGACTTCTTCCTCCTTGCTTCTAATGCGCCTTTTAACGTGTTTCTCTCAATTGCATATCAACGTACTACACTTCCCTCTTAATTCTGAATTCCCAAATGTACTTTAGAAATCTAAAGTGATGATAATGAAATTCATAGACCTATATTTATGTAAATAATGGCTTATCTCAAATTTACATAAAAAAAAGGTAATTCGATTAAGCCTATTATAAATAGAAAAAAAAAATCATGGCCTTGTTTTCCTAAAGTGAACCTGAGTAAAAAAAAATACTCACATGTTAACAACTCATAACGAATGTTTCGCTGGCAAGTTTAGCGTAAACGGTTACGAATATCGACGACAGGATGAAATTTAAAAAGTGGTCACATGACAAGAAAAAGACGTTAAGTGAAGCAGACGACCTATGGATAAATTGTGCTAAAAACTCTAGCGGGATTCGATCATGTGACCACTCGTTGACAAAGCGAGTATCATACCTGTAGATCACAAAGACCAAGGTACTGTCACAGATTCTAGAATCCCGCCAGAGAGACATTTTTCTTCACACAACTGTAAGAAACTTTTTCATTGTTGGGGCTATGTCTGATAAGTTTATAACATCATCCTATCCTAAATTTAAGCACTGCTATTAGTTACCTATTGTTTATATTTCAGCACACAGCATACTATGATTTAAATACTTACCAGTGGTGGCGACAGGATTTGGCCGACTGGGGATTGGGGGGTGTGAAGGGGGAGATTTTCCCGACGAAAAAAGTGGGCGTGGTCGGGCGTCGCTCAAAATCTCTCGAAAGTGTTTCATGGGGGCGAAGCCCCCGAAAAATATGACAATTTAGGCTAACGTGTTCTAAAAGCTTATGATTTTTGGTACTGTAGAAAATACATAAGCCTATACATTTTTCCCCGACGAATTATGGTGTTTCTGGCACATCTCCCCCACCCCCGCTTGCGCCACCCCTGTGATTTACTTTATTACTATAATTTTCAGCTGCGACTACCCAGAGTTCTCCCTGGCTTTTCCACAGCCCTACATTGTGAGGATGTATGTATAGGCTATCAGCTGTGTGTGTTGACTGGCTGCCTGGATGGACAGAGATTTGACATTTGACATGTCAATGTTATTATTCCTCCATGGTTAAAATAGACCTATAGTTGAATAAACACGCTTGACTTAATAGACCAGCAATACCGTACTAAATTGCAAAATAACATCATTTTTGACCGGTAAACTTTGACTATAATATTCAGAAATATATAAAATATGTATAATAATTATAGACCTTTTTTTCGATCCTTGATGCATGTGTTCAGGTTATTAATTCCTTCGTTCATGATGATAATAACGATAATAATAGTAGGCCTAATAATAATAATAATAATAATAATTTATTTTTATTATTACAGGTATTATTATTATTAGGCCTATTATTATTATTATTATTATTATTATCATTATTATTATTATTATTATTATCATTATCG